GAGAGAGAGAGAGAGAGAGAGAGAGAGAGAGAGAGAGAGAGAGAGAGAGAGAGAGAGAAAGGAAAATCAAGAAGAAGAGGAAGACGACAAGAAATAATAAAAGGGATTTGAGAAGAGGAAACAAGGAGGAAAAAAAAGGAAGAAAAGAAACGAGGAGTAACCAAGCGTAGGATAGCAACTCGAAATTACGCAGATTATTGTCTCCATACAAATACCAAGCTCACGCTTGAAAAAACAGTCGATTATGTCACACACCGCCATCAACCTTCCTCGTGGTTTTGAAGATCGATAGAGGGAGTGGGAGAAATGGGATGGGAAGAGGAAGGGGGGGAGGGGGGGAGGACGGGGAGAGGGGGAAAGAGGGAGAAAGAAGATCCCGCTTCAGCTCTATCCTCCAGATCTAATGCACTCCTGTATTCCATGATCTTTGGAAGGCGAGGGGGTTGAAGGGGGACGAGGGGGGGTGTTGCGAAAGAAGGATGATGGATGGTTTTGGGGATGAGAAGCTAGGTTTGTTGAGGGGGAGAGGGGGGAGGAGGGCTCGTGTGGCAAGGGATAGGGAAGGGAGTGGATGAAGTAGAGAAAGGAGAGGAAGGAGAGGAAGGAAAGGAACGCCAAAAAGGCGCGTGACGAAGTCTTCGCCACCGATCTATGCTCCATCGTCTCTGCTCCTCGCTACTTCCACTAGCTAATCCGCAAGTCCCCGCGCAACGCCGAGCTCAAAGAAAAGGCAGCAGCAGCATGCGAGGAAGAGAGCTATGAAGATGATGGTACTTCCGATCAGCAGCGCTTAGCGCTTAGCGGAAACGCGAAGAAAAACTTCCTCGGAGAGGCATACAACAAAGAGCGCGCTAGCTATGGCGAGATTCGGAAGCAGAGCGATGAGGAGGAGAAGCAAGAAGGCGGCATTTCGCGCAGAGGGGGATGGGTGAGGCATAGCAGGTTCGGCGGGGCAGGTGGAGGCGGTCTGCATGTCGCTTGGCTGGGGTGTGCCTAGGCGCAGGGTCGCGAAGGCAAAACCGGGAGGCAGGTGTTCGGGGATGTTACCACTTCCTCCAACTCCTGTTGTTCGTCCTCTAGGTCCCAATCGGCGAAGAAGTCCATACCGCCCGCTACCACACCCAACTTGCTCAGCGTAAAACCGGAACACACTGTGCTCTACCACACCCAGCTTGCTCAGCATAAAACCGGAACGCACCGTGCTCTACCCGTTATTGGAATCAATTACCGCACGGTGCTCCGATGAATAGAACTTCCTGCGTTCTGTTCTGATATAGCCGCGGTGCCCAGCTAGGAATAGCAACCTTACTATGGAAGCTACCGCTCCTATTCACACGTTTAATGCAGCAACCCTGCGGCTGTGAAAAGGACAACTGGAAAGTGGAAAAAGAAAAAAGAAAAAAGGATTGAAAAAAAGGGAAAAAAAGGGGAGAGGCAAAAAGAGACGAGAAGAGACAAAAAAAGGAAGAAAAAGCGAAAAAGGAAACTAAGACCAATGTAACAAGGATCTATTCGAGGTCCTGTGCGCCCCACACCCGTGTACCAAACTGGCCTCCAATCCTTCGTCATAATCCGAGAGCGAGTTGCTCCCACAGCCCGTATTTAGCCGATTATATCGCATGAGGGGGGTCTTATTCGAGGCCTATAAACGTAGGCAGAACAAAGCTCCGAACTGCCTCTTATTACCATAACCTGTACTAAAAAAGGAAACAACGCAAAAGAAAAGAAAAAAGAAAAAAGAAAAAAGAAAAAAGAAAAAAGAAAAAAGAAAAAAGAAAAAAGAAAAAAAGAAAGAAAAAAGAAAGAGAAAAAAGGAAAAGAAAAAGAAAAAGAAAAAGAAAAAGAAAAAGAAAAAAGAAAAGAAAAAGAAGAAGGAGAAACGAAGAAAGAAAAGTTAGCACCCCTAATCACAATGCCAAATACGGGGAGATTGGCGAGAAGAGGGGAGGGGAGGGGAGAGAGAGAGAGAGAGAGAGAGAGAGAGAGAGAGAGAGAGAGAGAGAGAGAGAGAGAGAGAGAGAGAGAGAGAGAGAGAGNGAGAGAGAGAGAGAGAGAGAGAGAGAGAGAGAGAGAGAGAGAGAGAGAGAGAGAGTGCGTGTGCGCCTGGTCTCGGAGTCCCTTAGCCTCGCGAGCTTGGATCTCCAGCTCATAGTCGCCCATTCTCTTCTCTCACCTGTGTGTGTGTGTGTGTGTGTGTGTGTGTGTGTGTGTGTGTGTGTGTTTTAGATTTTCCCCACAACAGCCTCAATTCCACCCAGGTGAATAGATTCAGAGCAGTCTTTGTCCTATTGCAGACAACGAGAGCATTTGAGATGTCCAACATATTAAAGCAATTTTATAATTAGACGGTTTTTTGGTTGTCCTTGGGGTACCCCTTTTCATTGTTCTTGCAGCTCCCCTTTTACTGTGCCTCTTACGCACAAGGCTGCCCACGTTGATTGTGGTTGAGCGACAGCTGCCCACATCCCCGTGTGCCTTCACGGCCCACTTGCACGTTATTTCAGGAGGCAGAGTTCTTCAGAGCTTATACTCCTGTTCATTTCACTTCAGATCTTCAGCTTATGCAGTCTTTGTGTCCGTCCTTCATCTTCATACTTCCATTCATTTCATTTCTGATCTTC